TTATAAAATACCTGCTAATTAAAAAATAATAATAATTTATTAGTTTACATGGTGTATAAACCAGTGATTAATTAAAATATTATTTAAAATAACTGTTATTTGGATTTTTTGTTATTTTTGTTATTAATATGTTTATTAATTTTTATAATATCGATATAAACAACTATATTAAACATATTAAACAGTAAACAAACAAACAAACAAAAATTTATAGCAAAAATTTTGCAAATATGCTATTATTATTTATTTTTTGTCGATAGATTAATCTAAATCTATAAATTGTTTACTAATACTATATTTTAGTTATAATACCATATATTTTTAAAAAATATATTTTGTTGTTGTATTAAATTTCATAAAAAATAAAAATTAAAATCAAATGTATAGATTTTTTTATTATTATAATAAACTGTTTAGAAGTTATTATTATTATTATTAAAAATATTTGAATTATAGTTATATTTGTAATTTAATATAAAAGTAAATAATTTACCATGTTATTATTATTAATAATAATTGTTTTATTTAACAACTATTTAAAAAAATGTAATATTTATAGTAGGTAGTAAAATACAATTTAAACTTTAAAATATAAAAAATAAAAAATAAACAATGTTACAATGTTTGTGTATAAAAAGCCAATATTTACTAATTTTACCAGGTTTAATTATTATTAATAACTATAACATATTAATTTTTAATAATAATATAAATAATATACAGGTTATTAAAAACTAACATTAAACAAATTAAAAATTAAAATTAAAAAATAATAACAAACAAAAAAGTGTCTAGGACACCCGGTATTCCCAGGTGGTGTCCCTCCCAAGTACTAACCGGGCTCTCGGCTGCTTAACTTCGGTGATCGAACGAGAACCGGTGCTTTCAGCGTGATATGGCCCTAGACATCAATGTTAGATTAGCTAGATGATTTTATTATTATTTATAATAATAATAAAATATGTATCAGCAAGTAATAATAATAATTATTATTATTTGTATATGTGTAGTACAAATTGTTTACACATATACAATCCTAATATATATATAAAGTATATATTATAATATATAAATTAATATAATAAATATGCTAAATATAAATACAGTATATTAAAATTATTATATACATATATAATTGATATTAATTATTATTATTACTTGTGCTAATACATATTGCATTTTAATTAATATTATTAATAATAAAGTCATCTAGCTAATCTAACATTGATGTCTAGGGCCATATCACGCTGAAAGCACCGGTTCTCGTTCGATCACCGAAGTTAAGCAGCGTCGAGCCCGGTTAGTACTTGGGAGGGAGACCACCTGGGAATACCGGGTGTCCTAGACACTTTTTTGTATATTTTTTTATATTGTTAATTTTAATTTTTGTTTATAATTTGTTTAATGTTTTTTTTAAAAATAAAATAAAATAACATATTTATTATTATTATTAAAAATAAGTATTTTATAGTTATTATTATTATTATTATTATTTATTAAATACACTATTTATTGATTTATCGTTTTTTTATTATAATATTTTGTTGACCAAATCATTGTACTGTATTATACAATATATTATACTGTTATAACATAATGTAATTTATAACTAAACTAAAATATTATTGTCCAGTAAAGTATTGTCCATTATTATCAATTTTTTGTTGTTGTTGTTGAAAATATATATATATATTATATACTTATTATATTTGCTTATATTGTAAGCATTAAAAATCCATTGATTTGAAATTAATTGATGCGGAACTATACACTACTATACAATGGTTTAGATTTTTTTTGGGCTTAAAATTGAATTAAATTTTATTTAAAAAAATACTTTTTTATTTATATTATATAACAATCCACTAATACTACTACTACTACTACTACTACTACTACTACTACTACTACTACTACTACTACTACTACTACTACTACTACTACTACTACTACTACTACTACTACTACTGTATTTAATATAAAAAAATCTGTATTGAGTACATAGAAAATAAAAATTCAATTTATTAATAGTGGTTATTATTGTTAGTTTTTTTAAAAAAAAAAATATTTTTATTAAATTTATTTTATTGTAAATAATTCAATAAAATTTTACATAAATCACACACACACGCATACAGTAAAAATAATTTATTATAAAAGTCTACTGTTTGTGTGTGTGTATATATATATATACTGTATATATATTTTATATTTATTTTAAATTTATTTGAATAAGTTAAATGTAAATATTTATAAATTGAAAACAATATGAGTTCCGAAATTCACTGCAAAAATTCAGCGAAATTTTTCAATTATATATAAATATATATATTAAAGCAAACTATATATATATATATACAATATATATGACATAAAAATCTAAAAGTTATTGTAAATACTGTATAAATGTATGTATAAAAGTAACATATTTTTAAAAACACTTTTTCCTATGAAATATACAGTATATATATATATATATATACAGTATATATGTGTATAT